GCTAATATAGACATAGCTGATATAAGGAACAGTCACTCAATTTCCCAAGGCTAAGATAAAGTACCCAAGAGCTAAGATAAGTTTGCTGAAGAGGAGATAGCCACAGCTTGCTAAATGACAGAAGTCACTGGAGTGTCTTGCTGACAAAATTTGGTAGACATCTACACTGTAACTTTCTGGAAATGCTCAGTTTATGTTCTAGGGAAATCTCTTCATGGTAGATGCCAGAAGAAGCTGATTCGGGCCAACACTATAGGAAGTGGAGAAACTATAAGCACTTCAAGAGCATAGTGCTATAGACAGTTGCACACACTGCGGGAACCTGACAAACCAAAAGGCAAAATCTTTCCTATACACTAGTTCTCCAGTATCCTCCACTGAAAAGTTTAACATTATGACAGCTGGCAAAGAAAAATATTTAAAAGACCCAGGTCCATTTTCACAGAACAGGCAGAAGGTCTGAATTTGGAATACAGGAAAAAAAAAAAGAAAAAAAGAAGAACTGATATAGATATGAAGGGTTATTATTTAGACCCTGAAAGAGTTCATGAAGGTACATAATCCTACACAAATTCTTTCAGAAAAAAGAAACCCCAATTAGTTTAATAAAACCACTAAGACCTGTTACCAAAGACTAACAAAAACATCCTAAGAAAACTACAAATGAAACCACTATGACCTGTTATCAAAGACTAATAAAAACATCCTAAACTAAAAACCAGGACATTCAGAGAAATAAAAATTCTTTTTTTTTTTTTGGACAGGCTTTTGCTACAGGGCGCCTGCGCTTGCCAGAAAGAGAGAAACAGAGAGATGGAGAGAGAGAAATCACCACCCGGGGGGATGGCCACACCGCAATCCCTTCTCCTCCATTCTCCTCTCGGGATCTTGGGCACGCACGCACACTCGCCCGGTGTGAGTTTAAGCCACCAGGTCCAGGACTTGGACCGCGGTCGACTACATGGGAGTTCAGTGACATAGCCATTATGCTCACTGCTGGTCCCGAGAAATAAAAATTCTTAACAGGGGCCAGACAGTGACATGGTGGTTAAGGCAGTTAGATCCCACATGACCGACTGCATGGTTCATGTCCTAAACCTGGCAGCTTGAAAAACACAACAGATACATGTATGTTCATGCTCAAACGACCTGGAGGAGAATGGAAGAGAAGGAATTGTGGCCTGGTCATCCTACACCTCCAGAAGCTCAGAGAAAGCAGCTGATGCCGGGCCAACACAGGGCGTCCCGCAGCCCCTGTCGTCACCCTGCTGCCTCGCCACGTTGTCCACCCTCCGGCGGCCCCACTTGCCCTCACCAGGACCCTTGGCCTCAGGTCACCTTGAGCGATGAGCACCGAACAGTAGCAAATCAGGAAGCAGCGGATGCTGTTAAAACGCTGACAGAAGGGGATGATCACGCAGCCCAAGCCACAGGGCTCCTCTGAACCGACTTTCTGGTCTGGCAAATCCTTGAAAGCAGATTTCTTGCCCTTTTTCTTTCGCCTGCCGGTGAACTTCGCCACAGCCGCCGGAAACACGGTCAGAAACGAGGGCAGCTTTCTCCCTTCCCTGCCGACCTCCGGGGCCTGGGTGCCCTCCGGCGTCAGGGTGTTGGTGGCCTCAGGCTGCACTTCCTCATGGGTTTCCGCAGTGTCCTGCCTGTGCCCTGCCATGGCCCCCAGAGGGGCTCACCCTGGGCGGCTCTGGGCTACACAACCGGCCTTGCCTGAGCGCACACGAAGGCCCCAGGACGAGGGCTCTGACCGCCAGGGCCGCACCAGGCCTGCAGCCGAGCACCGGGCCTGCAGCCCGGCCTCCAAGGGAACGTTTCTTCTCTGGGCGGGAGGCAGAAGTCGCGGCTGTGGGTTGGCAGTTGCCCTGGGAGAACTTCCAGGACTGTTTTCCTTCTTTGCTTCCACGTGCAAAGGGGGGGGGAAAAAAAAAGACAAGCTGGAACTATGTTCTAGTAACCGCTAACACAGCTAGGGAGCACCAGAGGAACTAATTAGTGTTTTTCTCATACTTACTAAGAAACAAAGAAAGAGAAATGTGGGAAGATAGGATGGTGGAGGCCCGAGGCGGCCAAGTGGTTAAGGCACGGGACTCCCACAGGTGGCCACTGTTGGAGTCCCCGACCTGGCTAGGTGAATCTGTGCCCAAATTGCCGCATGGTCGTCTCCCCTGGGAGTGAGTTCTCACTTTCCCTCTCACCCTCTCACTGTGTCTCTCCCGGAAACACAAGCACCCTATGGCAAAAACCACAAAAAAAAAAAAAGGATGGTGAACCCGTCCTCTGACTTAGCTAGACTTATTTTATTGTGGTGTCTTTTCAAATGAGCCCTCTCACTGGAAACAACTAGAAAACTACTGGAACAACCAGGGCAATCAGGACGTGAAAAAAATACTTCCTCCACTATAAAAGATTTGGAATAACAACAGAGATCAGAAAACAATGTCCCAATGAATGCCCTTAAGTGAACTTACAAATTACTGTCCTAGAAACTCTATCCTCACTCAGAAACAGAACTATTACTTTCCTCCCTAAATGAGGATGAGGGGCCCAGAGCATGATTTATTTTCTCAGGTATAAAGAAAATCTTACTTGAAAGAAAATTGTAGCAGGGTATGAAACATGTATCTTATATAAAAAATTATTATTTCCCTTCCATATACTGAAATATAAGTCATTTAGGCCACAATATGGAAAGGATGTCTTTCCAAGAGATATTGGTCTATCTACCCTCCCATGAATGAAACATTGAGACAGGCACCACAGAAGATGGATGGGGGGGGGGGGGGGGGCGACCAGCAGTTAGCGTAATGGCTATGTCGCTGAACTCCTACGTAGTCAACCGCGGTTCGCGTCCCGGACCCAGTGGCTTGAAACTCACGCCGGGCACGTGTACGTGCGTGCCCAAGATCCCGAGAGGAGAATGGAGGAGAAGGGATTGCAGCATGGCCATCCCCCCTGGGGGGGTGATTTCTCGCTGTCTCTCTGTCTCTCTCTGTCTGTCTGGCGAGCGCATGCACCCTATAGCAAAAATCTCTCCAAAAAAAATAAAAAATAAAAAAGAAGATGGATGGGACACAAAAATTGCTTATATTTGGAAGAGCAAAGGAAGACCAAGGTATAATCCCTAAAGAGACTAGGGTCACTAAAAATTTTGTTTTTTTAAGGTTTTTGTCATACGGCATGTGTACTGATCACAGTGAGGGAAAGTGAGAAATTGCTCCCTGAGAAGGATGGCCACACCACAATCCCTTCTCCTCCATTTTCCTCCTGGGGTTTGGGGCATGCACGCACATGTATCTAGCATGATTTTCAGCCCACCAGGTCCGGAACTCAAATGGCAGTTGGCCAGGTGGGAGTCCAGCACCTTATTCACTATGCCAGCTCTGGACTCTGCACTAAAAATGTTAATGCATTCAGGAAGGTCAAGTGAAGGCTAGCATACCAGTTTACAATTTTTCAGAGCTTCAAAATTAAGGGGAGTCGGGACCAGCAGTTACTGTAATGGCTGTGTCGCTAGACTCCCACGTAGTTGACTGCGGTTCACATCCCGGACCTGGTGGCTTAAACTCACACCAGGCGCATGTGCGTGCGTGCCCAAGATCCTGAAAGGAGAATGGAGGAGAAGGGATTGCGGCGTGGCCATCCCCCCTGGGGGGTGATTTCTCACTTTCTGTCTCTCTGTCTGTCTGGCGAGCGCACGTGCCCTATAGCAAAAACTTCTCCAAAAAAAAAAAAAAAAAATTATGGGGAGTCCATGGCCACCTAC